AATTTAGTGTAGCTTCCAGTGGAACTTTTTTCTTTTCTACAAAAGTTGATTATGAAATTAAACAGCATGTGTAATGTATTTATTGTATCTTATAATATTGATGCGTGGGAAATTATACTTTTATGACTCTAAGTTTAACTTGCTCTTGATTTCTCCCTTGAGGCCATTACTGTAACTAAAGTTTCAACTTTAAAATGTGCTGTGAAATTTAAAAGAAAAATATATTTCATTTTTAAAGTATTGCACAATTCACAGGGAAAAAGATGTGAGCCATCAAATTTTATGTAGGCACATGCCTGTGTATTACTACCATAGCTTTCCAAGATTAGAATCTTAAGAAAGAAGATTGATGAATGTTATTAAAAATTATATGAAAAGGCATAAATGAAGACTCCTTGTATGAATAAACTGCTTTTGTATTATTAAAGCAACTATAATTCTCTTTCTATCTACCTATCTTTATTGTAACCATCTCCTCCAGAAAAGCTGCCTTGGCTAACTTCATCCCACTGATCATTTTTATTCTTTATCCTCAGCCCTTTTATATTTTGGTTGCATCATATTATTTTGAAGTTTTTTGTGTTTTGTAATTGTCGAGCATTTTTCTTGCAAGTGTACCCAATCAGATTGTAAGCTCCTAGAGGGCAGGAATTAGTTTTTTGTTTTTGTTTTTCACTTTTATTTGTCTCTTCAGTCTCCACTTACTTCCCCTAACCAGTATCAAATAAATGTTATTGACTGACATCTTCCTCTTTCACTGGGCTTTTGTGCTTCTAACTGTGATTTGGTGAAATGTCACATTATCTTTTGGCTTTATTAACTTAATTGCTTATATTTAGTTCTGTTTCTGGTTTTCCTTCTGAAGGGCTTTCATATTTTTTTCATCCAGCTATAAGATAATTCTGGAGCTTTGTCTAGACCCATTACTTAGTTCCATCTGTAATTGACAATCATTTTTTTATAATCTGTGCTACCTTTCTGAAGCCCAATTTTGAAAAAATTTTCAGCTTAATAGTAAGGCTGGCCCTTGACAAAGTTAAGAAATAGGCCCATTCTGCATTCCTTTCCCCCTCTCTTTTAGTGTACCTACTCAATCCAGAAGCTCAGATCTCATGTAAATTTATCTGTCCTGTCACCTGAAGATAATAATAGCTGCAAAATTCATTGACGTAAGATTTTAGTAACATAAAATACCATATTTTAGGGGTATTTGCATTTTAAAGGACCTCCAATATTACCCCAAGAGGGTAATTTATGAACAGAAATAAAATTTCAAGGTTCTTCAAATCACACTAGGTAGAAGATAGCTGAAGCATAAGATGGTCAGTCATGTACTCCTAAGTAGTGATTTCATTTCGAATTGAATAACAGTTTGAAAAAATGCTTTTTGCTATTCTAACCACATAGAACTTTATTCTCTTAGAACTTGAGTAAAACACTATTCCTTTGGCTTTAGAACTAAACTTAAATGTACCAATAATACTCAAGAAGAAGCATCTGGGTTGGGTATATGAACACTAGGCTATTTGTGGCAGATTTTTTGTGGGCAGATAGTCTGGACCTTAGGGAATAGTAGCAAAGTGCCAAAGAAAGGCACAGCTGCTAATACCACAATTTTTAAGGTGGCAAAAGTAGTGTTTTTTGGAATAGTGAGATCATTTGCTATCATATAAATATTAGGTACAATCTTTCTTTAGATATATTTTGAGTAATTGATGAACTTTCTAAAGTCACTGTTAAAGGAGCATATGAGTTGATAGTTCCTGTGGGTTTGCTATGATAAAGATGTGTCTTACACACAAATATGTGCAAATTTCTTAAAACTTGATACAATAAATGTTGAAAAGTGGGCCCCTATTCTTATAGATGTGTATACATATACAACATAGGCGTGCATACAAAGTTATGACATAAACCTATATTCTACTTATCCAGTAGTGGGGCTTAGTTAAGTGATTTTTCAAAAGTAAAGAATAACTGGTTTCTAGTAACTTTTATGACGTCCTTTATGATGAGAAATGTATAGGAAATATTTTGTGTTTCTATGGTTTAATAGAGCATTGCAATCTGTTTGAGTTTGGCCCTGATGCATATTCCCCATGTGACTATGGGCAAGTTACTTAACCCCTCTAGTCCTCAATTTCCTTATCTGTAAAGTCATATGGTTGCATGAGGCAAACTCTAAGTTCCATTTCTACTCTAAATATATCATCCTATGTTTCCTTAATATATCTTCCCACAGAAACTGTTTTATAAATGGTGTTTAGGTTTCTAAGTCAGCTGACAAAGACCTACTTGGCCCATAAGGTAACTGAATTATAATATTAATAATGTATTGGAATCTAACCATCATTATGGCAGCTAGGTGATGCAGTGGATACAGCACTGGACCTGGAGTCAAGACGACCTGAGTATAGAGCTCTGGCCTCAGAGTCAGGAGGACCTGAGTTCAAATTTGGCCTCAGACACTTGACAATTACTAGCTGACCCTGAGGAAGTTATTTAACCCTGATTGCCTCACCAAAAAGCAAAAAAAAAAAAAAAAAGACGTGAGTTCAAATCTAGTGTCAGACACTTAATGGCTGTATGAGCCTGGGCATGTCACTTAACTTCCAAATGCCTCTGTTTCCTCATCTGTAAAATGAGGATAATAATAGCACTTGTCTCTTAGCATTGTGTGAGGTTATGATGAGATAATATTTGTGGAGCGCTGTACAAACCTTAAAGCATTATATAAATGCTAGCTATTATCATCAATAACTGATTCTGTTTTTTACAAGTTGCAGATTCTAACCTAAGATATACCAAGAGCCACCAGTAGTAGGAAGAGAACCTTCATTAAGCTTCCATAAGCAGAGGTACCACCACAACCACTACTGGTATACCTCTTATCACCCTAATCCTACAGATGTAGCTGCCCCCCATCCAGGCCTGCACCAAATCTAGAATCCCTGACAAAGGAGACAACAACATTGTATTCCCCACTGCTCCAGCCACTGACTGCTGCAGTGTCTAGCTCCCAGCTCTTAAGGCTCTCATTCCAACAGCTGGTTCTCCAAGGGGTTTTGGCTTTAGGGGCTAAAGCTTTAGCACTGCCTCTGGTGACAGTATGTATATAAATCATTCATAAACTGGGTGTTTCTAAGTCACCAGAGACCAAACAAAAAGCATTTCCTTGGAAAATCTGATTTTGTTTAAGGCACATTTTCGGCACATTGTTTCTTTACTACCACAGAATAAGAAAAATTAGTCACAATGCATTGTGTTCTTTACTTTTCTGTGATCTAAAGAGTCCTACATGTGATTTCATTTACTTTCCTATAAATTAATTCCAGCAACTTCTAGAACAGAACTTGTAATAAAAGGCCCTAAGACTAAAACAACTCACAGCCCTAGAACACTTTCCATGGATTTTTACACTGAATGCTGGATGTACCTTTTTCTTTTCATTCAGTTCATCCAATATATGTATTTATAGACAGACTGTAGTTGGAACTAAGGATTAACAAAACAAAATAACTTCCATCAGTAATTCTGTGGAGATGTCCACCTTGATTCATAGAATCCAAAATAGTTAGAGGTAACTAAACAAAAGAACAAACAGTTAATAGAAGTGTATGGTAAGCAGGTTTGGATAATTTTGGAAGGCAGGTCCAGTGATGTATGTTGGCCTGTACTCTTAAGAGAAGGAAAGTGAAGGAATGCCATTCAGCTGTTAGCCTAGAAAACCTGCCTAGTTATTGAGATTCATAGACCCCATTTTATGGGAGGTAGCCGGAGGAGTCCTAGAACCAACTTGAGCTGGCTCTGAGCAGGTTGTTAAATTTTTAGTGTGAGCATTTATACCCTGGGAATCTGCAATTACAAATCAGGGCTTGATTTTAAGAGCCAGTTCTTCAACATTTATCAACATGGTCCTGAAGATACCCCATACTTAATGATATTTCACTTTGTGCTGCAAAGGGGAGTTGAGACATAACAAAATATTTTAATCAAGTGTGGGTAGCTTTCTAATTGTTTTCTTTCCTTTAAGTGCCATTCTGCATCCATGAAATTTTTGAATAGACTTTTCCTTTACAGAAATGAACTATATTAGTATACCCCATTTAGTCTGTTATACATCTTTTGCTTTAAGTGATAACCATCAGTCTATGTTCAATTTGGCTAGGTGATATCATAGACAGAAGCAAAGCAATGGCTCTGAGAAATTTCTATTCCAAGTTGTGTAGTTCTACTATAACATTTAATTTCAGGTAAAATAATAATGGTATAAAGGAAACAGCACTGGAGGTAGAGTCAGGAGACTTGTGTTTGAATCTTCGCTCTACTGCTCCAGGCATGTCACCCAACCTGTCTGTACCTTAGTTTCCTCCTCTGTAAAACTGAGGATATTGGGCTAGATGACCTATATGGTCCTTTCTGATTATACACTTATGATCCTAACCCTGTGTAACTCCATTAGGACCCAAGGGCGTCATTGTATTGCTGCATATTTATTGATATTTATCATAATAATGACCCTTGGAAAAAGTTAAATTGTGTTGGGTATAGCAGGGAAATGGCATTTAAAAGATTTCTATGCAAAATGGTCAAAATAAAAGATGTTTCTATGTATAAAGAGTACATCTTCAACCTATCCAGAACTACGTATTCTCTAAAGGTTTCAGATGAAATTTTACTATAAATGTTTTTAACTGGTTTCTGTTGCAAACACACAGCCTTTTAAAACCAAGCATAAAATATCAGAACCTACATTTGAAAAATCAAGTAAAGACCATGAGCTTATAATGGAAGACATAAATATCTCAGTGGTCTTACCTCATTGTCATTTTCTTATGGGGAAGGAAGTGATATAAATTTTATATCTACTTAAAAAACACTGAACAGAGGCAGCTATCCTTAAGCAGAGGGGAAGGAAGAGTTCTGAGACATTGTTTAAAATGAATTTCTGCAGTATCCTTTTTAAGAGTTTATTTTTGATATGTAAACATTTCACTTACAGATGATGAAGAACGTGAACTTCAAATGGACCCTGCAGACTATGGGAAGCAACACTTCAATGATGTCCTATAAATTCTGTACTGGAGGAAAACTGCAGAAAAACTGAATTGCTGTAAAATGGAACCATTTCTCCTTCATTGTTTCTTGGCTTTTATTTTTAAAATCACCTGTAAAGAAACAATAATAAGAATCTTAATAGAGAACTTTAATAGAGAAATGTACATATGTATATATTTGAACTTTTGCATATTGTATAATGAAACCCAGAGATGTTTTTGGTTCTTTTATAGTTGAACCAATAAACAAAGCAAACAAAAACTGTAATCTTTGCATTTAAAGCAAGCTAATATATCTATTTCAAAATTTTAGTTTGAATTGTTTCCTTAAATTGGTAAATTAGAAATATGGCGATATAATTTATATGTTGAACATAGCATATCCAGAATGGTGGGAATAAGCTGAAAATTTTTTTTTATACACAAATATATTCTTGGTTGGTTCAATACATGTTCTGCTCCATACCTCTGCTCCTCATTTCAAATTTTTTGGAGAATGACACCTAGATACCTAAGTGTAAGGGGGATGGGGAATATAGGAGGGTGACATGTGTGAAAACTCACCTCCCTACCCCTTTTGTTTTATGTGGGTGCTATTTTGTGTTTTGAGGATAAACTTTCAAAAGGTGAGATAACCTGGAAATACATACATTCTTTTGATGGTTGTATCTCATCAATTGAAAAAATTGAAAATTGAATTGAAATTGAATTGGAGGGAAAAAACCCACATGGCTATATTTTTACCTTTTTAATAATACCAGTACTATTTAACTGTAGGCAACAGTGATCATACTTTTTATATCTCCAGTTAAGATTGGTAATAGTGTTCATGATTTAAATGCCACATCCTGGATGGGGCTAAATTGGCTTCACAGAAAACCTGATATCAGTATTTCACAGATTCTCTAGTAGTTTTAGAGAATTCTCTACAATGTAGTATTTTCCTACAGTTTATCAGAATGAATATACATGGAATTTTAAAAACATTTTTGATGAATGTCCAAACTGTTAATAGAACTATAATGAGTCTACAGCTGTTTTATTACAAATAATTTAAAAGTTTATATTAGAGAGGTCTGAGGTATATATAATTTGCTATTACTTAATGTTATTGTTAAAAACCCATTCATCTCATAAATATTTAAATCTCAGTATCTCAAAATTAATTTAAATGCAGATATCTTAAGACATTTGACCTATTTGACATTGTTGGTTTTCTATCTCACTAGAATTTGTAAGTCAGATAATTTTTGTAATCTGGTTAGAAGCACTTTTAAATTTTACAGAAATAGTTCTATTCACTTAAAAGGAGAATTTAAGAATGTTAACCCTAACTGCTATTCAGAAGGGCTACTGTTAATAGCACATAAACATATTTTTCTCTTTCTGTACTCAGGTTGAAGTCTAAATCACAAATAATAGAGATAAGTGGATCACTCATTTCATTAAATGTTTCAGATTTTGGGGAATTAATTTTGTAATCAGGAGAAGGTACTGTAATTTAGGCAATGAACAACCTTTTTTTGTACCACCCCAAGATTGGCTCCTTTGTCACCAATAGGATAAAGCCTGCTGTGGAGAGAGATAATTCACAGAACAATTTAAATACTGTTAAGGAGATAGTGGGGGTGCAGAGGAGGTTGAAAAGACTTCCAGTAATACTGTGTATCTAATACTGTACAATCTTATAGAATTTTAAAACATTTGCCTTAGTTCCTTTGGCCTAAAACCAATCACTTGGGCATCTTAGTAGCCATTACTTATTTACACAGTTAAATTTCTACCAGTCGCCTGAAATTTTTATAACCCTAGAAATCTAGATCCAATTGATAGAATTTCTCTTAGTACTATAAAAACACATACATGATTAAGACTGACATTCTACAGACTTTATTAGAAATGCTGGTTTTGTGATGTTTACTTCTGCCTTAAGATTTAATTTTTTATGTATTGTTGCCCTACATTGTGTTAATTTGATGGAAACTTTGCTATTGCAATCACCACTTTCTGGGTCGTACTAAATTAAGAATGAATAAAAAAAGCCTTTTCATTTTATTGGTGCTGACTCTGATATATATGATATATATTACCATATATATCATATATATGTGGTAGCAAATAACTACAATCTAATGCCAGTATGAAATTTTTTATTGTTACAGTATAATTCAATATTATTATATCTATAAAAACAAATATAAACTTGTAGTGGTTGTGTTTCCAAAAAAAGACCATATGTGTCTAGCTTTGCTATGTTAGGGCACTGAGAATGAACAATAGTTTTAGGGACATGTTTCTAAAACAAAGCAAAAATTTTTAAATATAAAAAACAGTTAATTATTTATTTATTTAGGCAGCTGGGGTTAAGTGGCTTGCCAAGGTCACACACAGCTAGTGTCAAGTGTTTGGTCTGAGGCCGGATTTGAACTCAGGTCTTCCTGATTTCATGGCCAGTGCTCTATCCATTGTGCCACCCAGCTGCCCCACAGTTAATTTTTACTTTTAAGATATTTATGCTCAAAACGCAAAGATAAAAGTAGTTAGCTGAACTCATTACCTATGGGACATTAATTAAAGCAGTCTGACATGGTCAAGATTTTTCCATTTTTTTTCTCAGAATAAAAATGAATCCATTTTGGAATAATTAAACTCATCATGATGAAATACTATGAACTTAATCCTTTCTTCAGTTCTTCTTCTGTGCAATATTTCCCAAAATTTTTCATTCCATGCTACCTTCTAAATTTGCCATGGCATATTTGGAGGTGAGGCTCAGAGATTCCTGAAAACAAAAACTGGTATATGATCATCTTTTCATACAGGGTTGATAGAGCTCTATGAAAAAAATACTTTACTGTCATAATCATTTTCATCCTGTAATCAAGAATATTACCCTCACTGCCCAATTCTTATTTTTTTGCCTTTCTTTCTATATTCTGTCCCCAGAGAAACTTCATCTATTCCCGCAGTTCCAGCTGTCACCTCTCTTTGCATGGCCCTCAAAGCTATTATTTCCATCATTAATGCCTCTTTTCTGTACATCATTCATGATGTTCTACCTACCAACAGACATTTTCCTTGGATGCCTAGCTGGTATCACAAATGCAATATATGAAAGACTGAACTCATCTCTACCCCCAACCATTCATACATACCACCCCCCAAAAAAGAAATGCAACTGCCTCCTGAATTCTCTATTTCCATTGCTGTGATGACAATGTGGTATAGTAAAAAGAGTACTTGCCTTGAATTAGAAGATGTGGAATTGAGACTCTTGTAACTTTTTAGCTGAGCAATCTTGAACAAATCATTGGGACCCCTCACAGCCTCAGTTCCTACCTACCTCAGATTATTGTGAGGATCAAATGAGATAATGTATGTGAAAGCACTTTGTAGTGCTATACACATGAAAGGTATTATTATTCTCCCAGGCACACAGGCTTGAAACCTGGAAGTCATATTTGACTCTTTTGCCTCCTATATAGTTATTTTACTGCCCTGTCAATTTTTTTTTCCATATGTGCCTCTTCCCCTTTGCTACCAGTCTAGTCAGGTCCTTGTTACCTCATGCTCGAATCACTACTGTAACCTAAATCATCCACTTACTTTGAGTTTACGCCCTTACCCATTTCATTTTGTATGTCACCGCCACATTCATTTTCCTAAAACATGACTTAGATCATGTTACTTCCCCGCTCAAAAACTTCCCTTGGCTTTATCTTACAGGGAACCTCCTTCGCCTCATATTTAAAACTTATTCCAGTTGGCTCCAGTGTATTGATCTAGTACTCTCCAAATCAAACTTCCATTCCAGTCAAACTGAGCAAGTCAACATCACCTTGCTCATTCCTGTCTTGTGTCTTTGCTTATACTGCTTTTAGATCCTCTCTCTTCATCCCCATGCCTATCCAAATCCTGCTCTTTTTTAAGGGCTCAGTTCAATTCCCTTGTTTCCATTAAGCCTTTCTTATTAAAACTTCTGTTCATAGTGATTTTTCTCTCCTTTAAGATCTCATACTATTTAGTGTACCATTTTAACACTTAAGTCACAAACTGCCTTGTATCCTTTAACTTTTCACTCATAAATGTCTTAACTTCCCCAAATATTAGATTCCACACACCTCAAGGGCAGGAACTATGTCTTATACTTATTTCCCCTACAATGCCCAACTCAGCACTATGCAGATAGATAGTAGGTGCTCAGTAAAACTGTTAGCTGTGATGAGATGCTAAAGATGACTAATGCCAAGCCCTTCCTCAGCATTCCTGTTTGAGAGGATGGAGAAAACAGAAATGTGTTAGACCAGTGCACAGAACTTCTCTTTTGATTGTCAAGCTACTAGTTATTTATAAAAATCCTATCTAGGTATACAACAACTCAGGTCATGGAATACTGAATTGAGAAAAAAGGATACAGAGTATAAAATGAAAATGGAAGAATGATTACTAGGAAGAACATGAACAACCATACCTTCAACCTTTTATTTTTAAAAAATAAAATAACCAAATTTTCACTCTTGGAATGGACTTAAGCAGTCAACCTGTACTTCAGTAGGTTGCTTTTCTTATACTGTCTCTCTTGAATAATTTTACCAGAAAAAAATGAATCATCTTAAGATCTCATACCTATTTTCTCTTGTATCATTGGCAGTTAGAACTTTGTAGTTAGGCAACACTGAACATCCTTTAGAAGACAGGGACAGAACATCCCTGGGAGAAAGCGTGCTTATGAAATCGGCACAGTTGAGAGAGGCTGTGTACTAACATTGTCTCAATGTTAACCATTTCAGTGAATTTTTGTTACTGAAAAACACATACATAATATGTACTGTACATTGTACTGTATAAAGCAAGTTTATGTTAACTGCCTTCTGAGAGCTCATGTTTTAAATAGATGATGTAGATATAGACATGTAAGAAAAAGCACATTTGAGAACAAAGAACAAAAAAAATTAGGTATTTAAGGATTTACATGTCTGTGTGCAGTAGAAAAGGATGTGTGTGACAGTAGCTTAATGTGGGAAGTACGG